CCGAAAGAAAAAACTGTAAACTATTTTTCGAATGATATGTTTTGTTCACAATGTTACTATAACAGACATACTAGTAATACTTTTGATTTCGTATTATTAGATCGTGTACGTTTATTTAAAATAATCTAACTGTCAAATTCAATTTCTGACGGAAAACTTGCATGATACTTTCGCTGAAATGATGAATAACTTCCGTTGTATTTATATTTCTCTTTCTTTGTACAATCTGTTGTTGTTTTTGGCACATATGGTAGGCTGGTAGACATTGGTCGAATAAAATCACTAACTGGTTGTTGAGATTGAATGACTGATGTAACTCGCACGGATGATGATGAAACAGGTGACGAATATAAATCTTGACGATTGTATTCATTCGAAATGTGAGACTGAAACAGATATGATGAAAGTGATATTTGAGGTTTACTTGCAAAAACTGGTGGTGATTATGAGATTCTTTTGTGATTTTGCGTATGTGTTCCCTTCCCATGTCGCACTTTTTTTCGTAATACCGCCAGTTACCGACCGGTTTATAGTTTACTGCTGGTTAACGGTATCGTTCGATATAACGACTGGTTTAGCGACGGGTTTTTCTTCTACCGGCAGTTACCGCACGGTATTTTTCAGACCGCGGTACACGAAAAAACCGTTTTGACACAATCACCTTTTTGTTTTGCGGTCGGCAGTCTATATAAGAAACGCCGAAATGTCAAAAAACTTCGATTTTTTTCAAATTAAACTTTCTCTTTCAGATTATAGAGACTCATCGAAGTTTGCCCTTCGACTTATGTCAAGTTTTTTCCGTTCGGGTACCTCACTGCGCTGCATACGCACTGCAAAAGAAACAAAAAAAAAGCTGAGAACTAGGTTCGAACTCCTGTACTGTTTGCTCACACTGATAGAATACTGGTTGATACCGCCGGTAGAACCGACTGGTATACCACGCGTTAATCTCAGTTCCGCTGGTGGCATAGTAGGGAATATAATCGATGGTAACCTAGCCGGTAACCGACGATATTTTAGCGGTATTGAAGACATTTGTTTATCAAGATTATCCCAACTCATTCTCTTCGAAGCCACAAGGCTCGGTAAGTACTTCGTTTTCGTTAAAAACGGAGCTGATTCATGTTATCTATCCACTCTCTTCTTTCTGATCTTCACTTTCTCTTTAATTTTTTTCGCTTAGAATATTGGATTATTAAAAATTCCTTTTCTTTCGACTGAGACATTCTCAATACAAACTACTATGCCAAAATCCTCCATAAATGAATATGTATCTGTTTATGTGTTACACACGAACAGAAAGCAATGCCCAGGATATGGCTGGACTTTTAGGCTGGAAAATTACTTGTGTCATTTCGTTCTCTACGATTTTCACTTTAATCAATGTTCCCCAGGTGATTCGTCGGCTTTCTTCAGTATTCACGTGAATGTCTAGTGGCTTTGGCTTCTGATTTAAATCTTTTTTCAGTTTATCCAAGTCTAATTTCCATCGTTCTAAATCATGTTCAACGTAGCTTTCTGTCTCACGACCTTCACGTAGCTGTTGCTTAATGCTTTTTAAGCGATTGACAATATCTTCTCTTAAATCATCCGTTTGTAATAAACGTTGAACATCTTGTTTTGCTTCGTTAGCTACAGCTTGTATCTTTCCCATCATCTCGTTTTTCCAATCTTCAATTTGACGTATAATGTTATTGGCTATTGGATTAGATTTGGATGCTTTATCTGTTAACGCTTGTACTTCTTCTTTGATCATATCATGATGATAAATAATGTCTTCGAGATCTTTATCTAACATTTTTCGATGTTGAGTAAAACAACTCTTGCACAACTTTTGCTCACACCCATCGCACGTTATAATCGATATACCTTTTGGGCACATACAACATTTCTTTCGAACCGAGAACGGTATTGACGATGTGTTCGATACCATGTGTTTCAAACTAGAAACATACAGTGTTTTGATAATGTCGTGCTCAGCTATAGTAAATGTCAATTTCAGCAATCTACTAACAATTTTATACAGATTTTCAGCATTTTTAGAATATTTGTGCTTCTCATAAATCTATGTTGAAGATTAGCTTTTGATCGGTTCTCCGCTAAAGTAACATTCTGGAGAAACACAGAAGTGATTTTTAATAAGGGTGGGACAATTCCAGTTCCTAAAGTTCTCGAGAACTGGTTATCTGTTCCCGTTCCAAGAACAGGAACTGCTGAACGTTCTTTTCAAAGGGACGGGAACTGGTTACCAGTTCTTTTCAAGAATTCAAAATAAAACAAAACTGGTGAAGCTAGTTATATCGACTTCGTTTAGTGTTCCAGAGATGGATGGTACATTTAGTGGACTAAACAGAGCCGATGTAACTAGCTTCACCAGTTTTGTTTTATTTTGAATTCTTGAAAAGAACTAGTAGGGTGATTCTTTCGGAAACGTACCACATTTACATCGACTTTATCCGGATTGTTCGAGAGTAACAGGACTAGTACAGCTTGGGCTCTTGATGACAAATATCACGTTTAAAAGATTCTAAAACAACGGCACGGTGACCTTCTAGACCTGTGAAGATCCCATTTTCCAGCAGAATAGACCTTTTTTTGGGCATTTTCACCATTTTTTAGTGAAACACTGTCATGGAAATTTTTGGAAAATTTTGGATTTTGTAGCTCTACACATATAGAATCTAATCTGACGGTACCAGGTCATGACAGATTATTTTAAATAAACGTACACGATCTAATAATACGAAATCAAAAGTATTACTAGTATGTCTGTTATAGTAACATTGTGAACAAAACATATCATTCGAAAAATAGTTTACAGTTTTTTCTTTCGG